GAGGGAGGGAGGGAGAGAGCAAGAGAGAAAGAGAGAGCGAGATAGACATCTGCAGATGGCCGTTGATCCCCCGCCCGTCCTGCACACACATCTCGGCATCGCGGCGATCCTCGACACGTTGAACTTCAGTGTCCCAAATTGAATCAAACCCATCCACCAAGACTTTTGAAGCCGAGCATCGTAGAAACGGACGAAAGCAAAGCCTCTGTTCTTCTGGGAGGAATGGTCTCGTGGAAGGTAAACATCGCCAATCCTCCCACACCTGACATGCGCGGGATCAGAGCTGCTTTATGCCCCATTTCTGGCTGGCACTGGTTTAAAGTCAAAACCCTCTTGGCCATGGGCTTCCTGAAGAAGTCCCACACTTCATCTTTGCGAGTGTCGGGATAAAGGCCATCCACCTCTCACAGAGACAGCCGAAGACGGCTGTAGAAGATGGGCTCAACCCCTCCCCACAAGCCTTCAGGCTGTGCAGCTCATCCAGGTTGTCCACAGGAAGCGGCATTTCATCGTTTGGGGCCTGAGACCTATTTGGTATTTTTAAAGCAGATACATCATGCATGACAACATAAGATAATCTGATGCGACAATATTTTTTAAATAAATACAAACTACATAACGTTAGATATGGTATAATATAGAATCTTAATATAAATATATGATAACGGATGTACGATATGATCCATAATACATAATATATGTCGTATAACATGTCCAGCGGAGTCCAACACATGATGTGTGCGTATGTGTATATATATGTANNTATGTATATACATATATATATATACTCTATATATATATATATGCGTATACCAAGGACTTACCGGAGCTGTGCTTACATCGCGTGCATCGCAACACATTGCTTGATTCCTTGTGGTTTCTAGTTTTAAGCTGCGCAGAGCCCTGCTTCCTTGCTGGTCTCGTGTTGCCACGCTTGAACATGCGCCGCCAAGGCGGAAGATGCACACTATACTTTCACTAAACCCTAAACCCTAAACCCAACTCATCGATCATCTGCGCAGACACGCGCTCCCGTCTCTTCCAGGGCCTCGAAGAGACGCAGTTCCTGGCTGCGGAGGCTGGCGCATGCGACTCAGGCAGTCGAAAGTTGGACTCCTGGAGGTTTCCATATAGGTGCACCGGCGGCGGCCGCCTTCCAGAACCTCCCGGGACTGGGGGCGGAACTCGGCAAAAGGGGAGGAAACCGACGGGGGACCCGGGCCCGGCCTGGCGCATTTCGTCGGGAGAGCGGATGGGGACCGACTTCAGGCCCTCGCACATGAAGGCCTTGTGGCCGACCAGCGCATCCTGCTTTCAGGCTTTAGAGTGGATAGCGGACCCCGCGAAGTCCACAAGACGCGCATCGTGGCGCCTGCTTGACCTCCAGCTTGGCCTGGCATTTGCAACAAGAGTAGTAATAATGATAGCTCTCCTTAAGCTGGGCTCTTGCAAAAAGAAGCCCTTCACGAGCTCCTCGTCGGCTTTGCTTGCCAAGAGGTCGATCAAGTTCTCCCGCACCCCATCGGGAGAGTAGATCTCCAAGAAGGACGCCTGGCCAGGGACGAAAGGGAGGGCGAAGGCTGTGTGGCCTTCACCGAGTCGCGCGGGGGGGCCTCGACGGTGAAAATCTCACCCAGTGCACTCCTGTCCTGAAGCGCAAATCTGATCACAGGGTGAACAACTCTGCAGCTGGGCTGGGGCTTGGGACCCGGATGAACTCGAAGATCCGCTTGGCGGCGCGCTGGGCAGGGAACGAGGAAGTGCCCGACAGACTTCCCCCAAGAGACATCACTTCTTTGCACGACACAAGGAAAATAGCCTGGACGATCCCCTGCTGTGCAGCGATCACTTCTGGGGGTGCCGGATCCTCCCAAATCAGCTAGAGATCCCTCTGGTGCAGCATGACCTTCTGCGAAACCAGCCCTTTCCTTGACTTGCTTCGCCAAGGGCTCCTGACCAAAGAGGACACAAAAATCGCACGTAGCTCGGCATCCCACGTGCGCTGCTCGGCTCCTTCGGCGGGCCACTCATCGTGTGAGTTTTGCCCGATCCTTCCAGGGTGGGGGTAGGAATCATGGGCGGCCAAACGGAACAAGGGTCGAAAAGCTTTCGTCCGCACCTGTGATTCCGTAGCCTGCAGTTCTTCGCAAGGGGACAGGTAGTCGTCTAAGCTCAAAAAAAGCTGCAAGGTCTTAACAGACAGGGCCCGAACAGAACACAACACCGTTGTAGCCTTCCATGACCCTGTGGAGATGCATCGAATGAATGGGTTCTCAGACGCACCCTAAACGATCCGCAGCCTGTCCACCACGGGAGCAACGTGCTCGAAGACATCCTCGAAAAATGTCGGTGGCTGCTCCCATTTTTCAACAGGGGGCCCCCGGACCCAGGGTTTCTGAGCAGAGCTCCGCTTGCGTCCCTTCTTCGCTGATGAAGCCTAAAAGAGCCAGAGCCAAGGCCAGTGGGTCTCGGAGTTTCCAAAAAAAAAAGAGCAAAAAATTCCTCTTGGCGTCCCGGCCGTTGCAGCGGAACACCTTGGGTTCGGAGTGCCTGCTCCTCCCAAGGGCCCATCAGCTGCCGGCAGCAGCCCCCTATATGTATACATACCTACATACAAACATACATACAGATAGATAGATAGATATTATAAATCTAAATAAATAAATCAATGTATGTATATATATATATGTAGATAATATGTATATTTGTATACATATTATATATATATATAGATATATATATATATATATAGATATACATTATATATATATATATCATGCAAAAAAATACAAGCCTCGGGATTTTTTTCTGGGGGCCATGTTTTGCCCCGCCTGCTCTGTTCTTCAGGCTGGAGCCGAAGCATCACCTCCAAAGCTCCCAGAGATTGCATCGGAAAGCCGCCGAAAGCGAGACACCCCGAGTCCGCGTGCTGCCGCCTTGCCGCTCTTCGCTGAGCTGGCAGAGAGCTTGATGCGAGTTCCCTGAAGGTCAAGTTGCTTCGGGCCCTTCGGCCCTCCCCTGTCCAAAGACTGCGGAGACGGTCCTCCTTCAACAAGGGCCGGCACCGCACGAGCACCCCAACAGGGGCTGAGCCCGAGCCCGAGTTCACCTGTCAGGCTGGCGTACTCTTCCAACTCTTTCTGCCTCTGCCAAGGGCTGCCTGGCCCACAGATGCCTGCGACGGGCCGCTCCGCGACTCCGGCGAGTCGGAGGCCTCCGGACGCAGAATGGCCAGACACCAAGCGAGCGGGCACGCCGCCAGCACACCACCTCGTCTTCAACTTCCTCCTCTTCCTCCGTATCCTCCTCACCCTGAAGAGCGGTGCGTGCCCCAAGTGCGGCGGCGCGAGCACATGCGAGCGACGGGCAGTCCTCCAGCTCCTCCTCTTCCTCCTCCTCCTGACATGTGATGAAGTCGTGACTCTTATAAGGCCCTCCAAGCGGCGGCCCGGGAGCCTCCTGCGCCAAGCCGGCCTTCAGCTCCCTCAGCCGCTGCTGACGTGCCCGGAGGATCTCCAGGTCGGGGGAGGACGAGGACCCCTCGGCCTCCTGTGCCAAACAAAAAGGGCGGCGGAGTTCTTCGCACCCCGTTTTAAGCCAAAAGCCAGACCAAAGCCTAGCTCCCGCCTCGGCCGAGCCGGCAGAGTCGGGTTGCGAGAGGCGCCTGCACATGCAGCAGAACGCTGGCGGCGCGCCGCGAAGGGGCCCTTGTATGTCTTAGATGTTCTTCGACAGCTCCTGCTGCGAAGTCCTCGCAGCCAGTGGGTGTCCTGAAGACTCGAGAAGACAAGCATACGCTCTGACCAGATCCGGCGCCTCTTCCCCATCTCCCACGACATCGATGCCTCGGAATTAAGCAGGGCTTCCCCGCCTGCTACTAGTGAAGACAGCATCCTGAACAAGTGAGAACCGGGGAAGCCGAGATGCTGCCCATTGCGCACGGCACGGCACACAGCAAAGAGGTGCGGAGGGGGAATTTACTAACTATATGTGTATTGAGTTCAACAAAAGTGTGCTCTGCAGTCGCTACCTTGCGGCCGCGCAGAGCCATGCTAGATTTTACTTAAGTCTCCTGCTTTTCAAAAAATGATGCCGAGGACGTCTCACAAGAGGAACCGTGCGGGTTGTGAGGAAGGCGAATTGACATCAAGCATGAGATTGAACTGATGGCTCTGAGCCTAGAACTTACGAAGATTGTCGTCTGCACCTAAAGAAGTGGAAAGCCACTTCCCACCACCTCCCGTCAGTTTTCCTCAGTGACTTGCTTCATTTAGCTTGGAACACCATCATGCCCCAATGATGCATCGAGTGAGGATGCTCTTCGAGCTGTCCCATTATGTCAGCTTCCGATGTCAGCAATGCCACCTCCTCATGTCACAACTCTCTGGAAGTCCACACGTGCATACATCCAACTGAGTCAACCATTTCTTCGACTGCTCGGTCAGCTGTACACTTTCCCTGGGAGATCACTCGGTGATCCACAGGTCTTGTGAGACTTCAGCCGAACTGCGCGAAGCGCTTCACGCCAAGGTTGAGGCTGACTTCAAAGAGGTCAGTGTCGACCCGAGCCGGACGCCTTCATTTACTGGCCCCAGCGCGGCACCTGAAAAGGTGGGCTCGACTGTTCCAAGGTTGCTCCGATTCAAAGACAAGACAAGCCAAGCCTCGCGGTGGGGCCGTGGCCTCACTGTTCGCTGCTTGCGCTTCGAGTCCGAGCCGTGCAGCCACTAAGCTGCGGGCCGCCGGTGGGGGAGGCGCGTTGGTAGCTGGACTTCCCACTGGCTTTGAAGGTCTATTGGGCTCGGTTTTCAATGGCGGCGGCAGGGCAAGCTGCGGTGGTGGCCTGGAGAGTATCAGGGGCCACAAGTCTCTGCCAAAAGAAGACAGCCCGACTTGGGCGACTGCGATGGCAGAGGCAAAGAGGACGGCGGGGTGCCAGCAATGCTCTGATCGCCTGGCAGGTTCGTCAGACGACAAAGCCAGACATCTGCACTTGCTGCGCTACAGAGGTATGTTATAGTATATTATAGTATACTGTAATATATTCTAGTAATCTAGTATATTCTAATATATTCTAGCATATTATAGGTGCCTGTGTAGGCAACCAGTTCGCTGCTCGCCTGCAGGCGAGCGGGCACAGGACACAGCAGCCATGCAGCAATATCACAGGGCGTGTGCCACGGTTACAGGCCTCAGCAGCGGCTGCATCCACGGGCACGTAGAGCTTTTGGCTCAGGGACGGTGCGTCCTTGCAGAGGTTAGCCTTTCCTATCAGGATCTCTAAACCTTCCGCACAGCTGCAGCCTCTAGCTTCTTGATCTTCCGCAGACGTCCAGGTGGTGCCCAGACTGCCACCCGGCCATCAGTGGAGCATGTCACCTTATGACATGGATAGAATGTCTGGTGATGTAAGTTTTCCTGAGACCTTCACTAGAATATGCTTTGAGGATTTGGGCGTGGAAGTTCAGACAAGTTGACATATGGTCACGTACTGTAGACAACTCATAATGAATCAGTTATCCTATCTGCAACATACTGTGCGTGCATGTACATCTATGTGTGTATACACGCATGCTAACCCCAAGGTTACGCCTGTACTAAATACCAACATAATGACGAGGATCGTTAATTGACTCCTGACTCCAGACAACATCAACCGTAACCCTATCCATGTCAATGGTATTCGCCCAGACAGCAGCCCTAAGGCCATCCATAGTAGGCTTAGTACCACCCACCATTTGACCCCGATGTTTCTCGTATTCAAGTTACAACCTTTGTCAGCTAGCAAAAATCGTAGTGGTAGCTGTGACAATCCTGATATCCTGGGTCCCAGTCTGTGTTAAACCTGCAGTACTAGCTCCCTATTTACACCAAAACTGATCCGAATCATGTCCTGGCTATGGCCTATTGTACAGTATTAGTGCTAAGCGGAATCGAATCCCAATAGTGATGACACTCGACGATCGACGAACCTTATTGGCAACACTAATTCGTAATGCGCGCAAACAATAAATGAAAGACGCTCGCTTTGCTAGGAAACAATGATCTTGGAGTGCAATACCAATACGTTTCTATGCGAGGTCCGCACGGGGTAGCGCGAAGTCTGCACAAGGTCCGCGCGAAGCTGGGCAATACTTTCGCCTTCTAAAAACCGCTAGCACTGACGCTGCTACAACTTTTCCTTGACCTTGGCAAGTTATGGGCACGCTTACTTGTTTGCCCTGCGTTTTCGTGTTGGCAACCGCTGGTTGGGGACATGCAGTGGCAAAAGTCATGAGTATTGAGCGCTGCTAGCGCGAAATGCCACTTGCACAACATACCAAATGGCAAAGCATTCCAACATAGTATACAAACCCGGATATATCTTGTTGTTCTAGCGCCAAACTATCCCTAATCTGCGCCACAAGGGTGATTCAGTTGCCCAACCTCGGGCCCCGCCTCATACCAAAGAGTAAAAAACACGCTCCAAAGATGATTATGGCCACCTTATATAAAATTTTTAACCGCTCTTTTAGGCAACCTCCCATATATATATATATGGAGGATTGTACACGCAAAAGCTGGCCTTCAGGATGGCCCTTTCTGTGTGTGTGTGTATATATAGATAGATAGATAGATAGATAGATAGATAGATAGATAGACAGATAGATAGAGATAGATTATGTACATGCATCTGAAGAGACGTATAACACAGGTCTGCCCCATGTATCGCTACATGTGATATGCGAGGTAGGTATAGGTAGGTTAGGTTAGGTTAGGTTAGGTTAGGTTAGGTTAGGTTAGGTTAGGTTAGGCCAGGCTAGGTTAGGTTAGGTTAGGTTAGGTTTCGGTTCGGTTAGGTTAGGTAAGGTAACGTAAGGCAAGGCAAGGCAAGGGTAGGTTAGGTAGGTAGGCATGCAGGCATGCGTATGTATGTGTGTATGATACAGATATTGCATCCTCATACATGGACATGATGAACGAGTATGTGCAGTGAAAGCGGCAATGTCTCATTTCTCTCCATTGCCGTTCGTCTTTGTCGGGTGCTGGTCAGGAGCCGAACAACTGGACGGATGGAGCTGTCTGAAGCCTTGGGTCGCCAACACCAGTCCACCGTCCAGCAGTCTTTACAAGCTCACGTAGAGACGAACTGGGAGGGAGAGGTGGGTTAAAATTCCTCGAAGAGAGCTCGTGCCGAGATGCTTCCCGGCACTCACTCTCCAACATGTCACTTCACACATGCTGTGTGTCACGACATGATGAACGAGTATGTGCAGTGAAAGCGGCAATGTCTCATTTCTCTCCATTGCCGTTCGTCTTTGTCGGGTGCTGGTCAGGGGCCGAACAACTGGACGGATGGAGCTGTCTGACGCCTTGGGTCGCCGCCAAATCAGCAGCTCCACCGCCCTGCCCCCGCTCATGTGGAGCCAGAAAAATGCCAGCGAAACGATAATGCCTCTTCGACGCCCGCAGACACAGCAAAGTTGGAATCCACTGCCACTCGCTCGACGATCTGCCAGAGTGGGCCTAAGTCGGTGCAAAGCAGCGGCCAGCCGCGGTCCTGAACGAGGCGAAGATCGCCCCTACTGACCTTGTCAGATAAGTTCGAGGCACTAGAAACCCACTCAAAATGACCATGCCATCTCTGTCTGACTGAAAGCGCATGAAACCAAGACAGAAAACGATTGATTGCTTCGTCGCGTCCATAGCCTTTCTGTAAAGCTGACAGACCTGCGTGGTTGTCGCAGAAAGAAACCCAAAATTGGGGAAGAGTGGCACTGTTCGAGAGGAGGCAAATAGCCTGAGAGAAAATCTCCAAGAAATAAATATATGATCGACGGGAGCCAAAAAGCCTCAAAATATGTGCCGGGACTCTGCCATGTCCCGCAGTCACTTGGCCCTGAACTCTGCACAAGAAGCCCCAACCATTCTCGGCCAGATGCATGTCAGTTGGCCAGTGGGTTGGCAATTCGGAATCGCAGACAGACCACTTGCGATCACCCAACTTGAAAAATGCATCAGCGTACAAAACCCCTACAGGTGTGCCGCTCCTGGCGAATGGAATGGACCTCGGTATCGGGGTCGCAAGCAGAGCAAGAAGGCATTCCATGGATGCTCGCAGGCCAGAGTTGAGCTCGACGCGACCATCCTTGGGACCCTGAGATCGGCCATAAATGGGTCTCGTGAGGGATTTGCCAAGCTGTCCCCAAAGAGACGTGGAGAGAAAACCCAGTTTCCCAGCCAGTCGAGCCGCCTCGTCAGAAGTCAAACGATCCTGAAGCAAAGCCTCGCGCAAAGTGCGACAAAGCTTGGAGACCCTGGACTCCGAAGGCTCCACTGTCACGCCTTGATCTTGAATGCGAACGATGACGCCCTGTAGCTTCTGCAGTGTGTCAGGCGGTTGCCTCTTGGAAACCTTGAGCCTATAACCCAAGATCTCACAGAAACAGTCAAAAGAGCGAAAACTTGAGTCTGAAGACGCCGCCGGGTCTACGCTGCCCAGATCATCCACGTAATGTATGGCTGGAATGAGCTACAGGCTTCTTGCCAACCAGAGCAGAGCATCAGTGACCTTGTTGAAATGAAAGACGCTCGCGGTAGCCCCGAAAGGCATGACCCGATGCCGCCACAGCGTCGGGCCATCTGGTGTCATGACGACCACGTAACAATGACTCGGATCGGCCACAGGGTACTGCCGATAAGCAGAATGTAAGTCCTGAGCCCAAATCATGGCGAATTCGCCCTCAGCAGCCAAGTGACGAATTAAAGACACATAGACACCAATGTCGTCGTGAGGAGGAACATCGAAGGCCTCCACCGTGTCGTTGTGGAAGCTGCGTCTGTAGTCTTCACAGCGCCTGACCTTCCGCTGGCCATCCGAGCCTTCCTGCACCACCGAAAAGGCCCAAGCGATGCAAGGCTCTGCATCAGGGCACGAAAGCAAACAGTCAAAGCCCGGCTCATCCTTGACCGGAACAGTTTTGTGCTTCCAGGACGCGGGAGCAGCGAACGGGCCTTCCATCCGACCCTCCCGGACTTCAGTAAGAACCTCGGACAACATGGTGCGCCACTCATCGTCGACACGACGACGATCGAGTCTCTCTGTGACGTGACCCGCATTGAGGCGCCTAAAGGCTTCGAAACTAATGGGAGCAGTGTATTTCTGATCAGTCCTCGGAAGCCAACCCAGCGTTGGCCGCAGATGTCCAATCATGGGCATCCCATGCGACAGCTCACGACTGAGCTCCTCCACGTCCGGAAAACCACAACCTCGGAGCAACTCTAAAAAGACTGGAATTTGAAGAAAACCCTTGTCATCTGGTAGGGTGTATGCTGCTCGAACATGCGAAGGCAGACCTGCAAACCACTCGGCGGAAACTTGTTTGCGCTCCTGAACCAAGTTGGAAATGCTGTGCAAAACTGACTCACGAAAAAACCTGGATATCTTCACCAATCGATCTCAGGCGATCGTAAACGGTCTGAAGCGCCTGGCAAATCCTAGGCTTCGTCAAGAGTGGATGCTCGATGTCGGCGGTCATCAACCAATGTTCCCACTCGCTGTCGGAAGGCGGCAAACTGACGAATCTCGATGAAGGCGTTTCACGACTCAAGGAAAGCGGCTGCTGTCTAGCAACCTCGAAGACCCTGGACAACACGGGGTCGTCGGTGATGTTGCCGTCAACCACTTGCTCAGCTGTGGTGGGCGCGAGACTAGCCAAAGTCAACCACAGAATGAACTTGATGACGCCGATGTGCCAGGAGTTGCCGAGCATCTTGTGTCGATCGCGGGGAGAGATGTTCTGAAGCCTCGTGGCGCCGACATGAAAATGGTGGCATTGTTCCTTGATTTCGGCGGGCAACGTCATGTGCTCCCCTGTCTTGGCAACCACCATCGCGTGGGAACTGTAGTGCCACGGAGCATATTGTCGGTGGTTTTCTAACCACCGACGTTTCACTTCGGGATCAAGCGGGCCACGCATGCCGCGCGGCGCCTCGCGCCCAGATTCTGACGTGGCAGGTGTAGTAAGGCATGGCAAAAGCCGTCGTCCAGCCACGATGTCATCATGAAACTGAAGGCCACGCATGCTGATGTTGGAGATGGGGTCGCGAGGCGGGTCTATGTAGAGCCGATTGTGTCCATTGTGTTTCCCCCACCTCA